AGCAGTCCATTCAGCAAGTGGAGGACTCTTCTTTCCAGTCCGCTTGTTAGATATTTGAAGAGTGCTGTCATATCCTTCCATAATCTTCCCTGTTCTACTATAAATACATTCAGCTCTCTCAGCCACCCTTTGTAAGTCTTGGCTTCCAAAGGCCTCCATACCATACAAGGTTCTTATAAAATGGGATAATCTCAATCTCACCAACTTTAAAGGGGTTGTATGTAAAAATGATTTTTAAAAAGGAAGTTGGAATCCACGTATCAAGATCGGAGGAAAAATACCTTGTAGAGGCATGGAAGGCTGAAACTACACTCTCCAGAAAAATGGGATAAAATCCTGCTGTTGTAACACCAAGCCCTACAGTGGTTCAAAATGGCACCCAATTTGTTCTTTTCTGCTCCAGTGTATTTATTCTATGCCACAGTTTCAAGTGGTATAGGACCACTGATTGTCTGCTCATCCCTTTCCTACTCTTTTCATCACATCCCTTGCTCTTCCCTCATCTGCCCTATAAGTCTGTCCCTGCCATTGCATCTTTGATTTTTTTCTCCTTTATGCCTTCATTCACATATGCAGACATGCATATCTTTTTTTTAACCTGTGATCAACATTGCACATCCAAAGATGCAGATAAATACATTCTAAAAAAAATGGAAGCAGGGAATGGGTCATGACATTTGTTCCCATCATATGACATTGTGCCCAGCCCTTGACATGCTCACAGTGACAACATACAGCACCTACCTACACCAGATTAAAACAAAGGGGAAAAAAGTGCTGCAACCTGAGTGTCTGTTATAACTACAGTAACCAGCAGCCAATATACTTTCGCAGGCTGGTTCCAGAGGTGAAGCTGCAACCTAAGTCTTCAACATTCTCATCCAGTGATATTGTGTGACACATTTAAGTTCTGTGAGGCTATTTGTTTACTTAGAAGATTAAACAATGAACCTTGCAAATACAGTTTCACAAACTGAGTCTCTCTCTTCTTATTCACAGTTATGTAATTGTAACAACAAAAATGCTGCAATTTGTGCACCCAAATTCTAGGCAACAGCACCAATACAAAAGTTGCTTTTAGAACTGTAAAATTCAAGTGTGCTTTTGAATATCACATCCAAGATATCTTCCTTACTTGGTGTGAATACGGGTTGGTTCTGCCGGGGCAGTTCCGTTGACGGCACGGGAAAAAGGGCAGGAGGCTGTTCATCTTTTCTAACAGAATCTGTTTTATTGGTAAACAAACTTAACTTGGCTGGCTCAAAAGGATCCATTAAGCTTAACTCTGGTAACAACTTGTAACTCTGAACTCAAGTAGTCATTTCTCTGTCTTTCCGTCTCACTGGGGGGCTGGCCCAAATCGCTCCCCGGTCGGTCATAGGGCGGATCAGTGTGGTCTGTACCGTGCAAACCATCCCACAACATGGGTGTCTCACCCAGTCCCCCTCCCGCTGACTCTGGAGTAAAGAGGAACCGGGACGGATCACCCGCCTCCCCCCCACACTGATTGTGTGGGTAAACCACCACAGTCCATTCCAGGGAGTCTACCTCTTGTCCGTGCGCAAAGGAATCTGGAGGTCCTGGCAATAATCCTCCATCCACTTGTAAGTTCGGGAATTCTTTAAGCAGTTTTAAGAAACTCTCTTGGCCCATGCTCCCTTCTGTCTGCGCTGACTTATCTCTTTTGTCAGCCGGTTCACTTTTTACCACTCTCAAACTTTCCGCCTTTTCACCCTCATTTATATCTTTTCCCATACAATCCAATCTAGCTCCTCCCCTCTCTCATCAGCCAAACACACTTCCCTAGGCTATTGTACCTCCCTGTCATCCTGCTCCACCTCTACTAATATCCCTTCTACACACTCCGTTCCTCCTTCTGCTCCTTTGACTGCAGAGGATGGCTCACTCTCTTTCTCTCCTTCACAGTTGGGTTTGGTATCCAAAACATAGAAGAATCAGTATTACATGCAGAGTCTTCAAAACCCTAGACCAAGTTGTCAAGGGTCTTAGCAAACCCGCTCTTTCTGATTCAAATCCCTTACTCACAGCTCTGCTCTTTCTTACTCCTACTTCTTGGGCCTGAACAAATATTTCATAGGGGTTACAAATGGAGAATCTGTGCTTTCCTTTCCTTATAATACTGGGCCTTTTGCCTGATAAATTCAGGTTTTTATATAGGGCAGGCTTATCCAAAGTGCTATTTAAAAATAGATGTTTTAAAAAAGCATTGTTGTTTCGTCGTTTCGTCGTTTCGTCGTGTCCGACTCTTCGTGACCCCATGGACCAGAGCACGCCAGGCCCTCCTATCTTCCACTGCCTTCCGGAGTTCTGTCAATTTCATGTTGGTTGCTTCGCAGACACTGTCCAGCCATCTCATCCTCTGTTGTCCCCTTCTCCATACCATCTAATAAAATGTAGCTGGGCTAAGACCCAAAACCTCAAGCAACATTTAAAAGCAAATGAAACATTACCAAGCATTGAATATTTAAAAAAGAAAAGTAACTAACCCATATATAACTATACCTCCACAATGTAAAATATCAGACCGGGAAAAACAGCATGTCACAGTTGGGCAGAAATAGATCAGGATTTATTGGTTGGTTGATCAATGATGCAATAGATCAGTACATAATAGTTTGTCACAAAAGCCTTCTTTTCTCTAAATTAAGCTATTTCAATCCTTGAATAGTGTTGTGCTGGAGCCAGGACTCCCAGTGCTCAAACAAGGGAAGTTTTTGATTAGCATAGATGGTAACAACATCTGCCACTTCCACCACAGCTTCTCTGTTCCCTCTAAATTTAGAGCAGAAACAGACATTATAGATGGGCCATAACTACTGCTGAAAGAACATTAGTGTTGGAGTGATACGAGTGAAACAGTAATTCATGTTTGAGAAGTGAGTCTCCAAAGGAAACATGTGCAAAAGTCCTGAAGATAATTTTTTTAAAAAAATGTTAATTTGAAAATTCTGGGAAAGGAGATACTGTAAATTCCTGACATCCACACAGGATTAAGCCTAAGGATTTTCTTCTGCTGGTCATGTCTTCTTGTTTGAGTTCCTAACTGCAATTCTTATAGTACTTGGGGTAGGGGATGAATTTTACCAGCACACTATATTATTACTATGTGTATCAAAGTGTGTATAAAAGAGTACCAAGGCTGAAATCCTCTTTCACATCTTGTAACTTGTGTGAAATCATCTGTGGTTGTGCCATGGGCTTTTTGAAGGCTTTAAAAGTTTTGCCTCTCTCCAGATTCCAGGAACCCTGAAGCTCCCCTTCAATCTGGGGAAGACTTTGAGAGCCTCAGAATGGGTGAGGGAACTCTTGAGTACCTGAAAAATCACTGCCAGCAGAACTCATAATTTCTTGGTTCCTTTTATACATATGAGAGAAAGGCACTGCAAAAGGGTGGAGGAGGAAGATCACATGGTCCATGTGCTGGAAAATGCTTAGTGAAAAACTTTCAGATCTGTTTAAGTAACTAAAACTAACTACTTGCTCCTGTTGGTGGCACAAGAACAGGTAGCACGTGCACATGTGCACACACACACACAGAGAGAGAGAGCATGTGTGCACACACACACACACAGAGAGAGAGAGAGAGAGAGAGAGAGAGAGAGATCGGGCATGAGACAAAAACCAAACCACAAACTGGTTTGATTTTCCAGTTGGTTAATGGTTCCTGTCTAACCACAAATTACCATTTTCCAGCTTCTCAGCCATCTTTGCACAACAGCCTTAATTCAGACATTTTAGTTTCTAGTGAAAGTTCGGACTTAATTTGATCTCAAACTTATTTATCTGGTTTTCTGGCAGTCCATAGTATCTGTAAAGAGCTCCTCCTACATCATATTTCAAACTCCCTCCCCAATCCCCCAAATCAGCTTTCTTCATTGCCTGGCTTTCCTATCAGTACAGAGTAATTGGGAATATCCTAAAACCTAAGTTCCTCCAGATATGTGGAGTCACAACCTCCAGCATCTCCACCCTTCTAGAGAGTACCAGGTTCGGAATGTAAACACAGATGTTGGATTACAATGAAGGACTGCGTCTTCCAAGCAAAAACTAAACAAGATGTTCATGAGATTTTTTTTTCATTGCATGGTACTGTGTACACTACACATGTTGAGCTAACACGGAGGTGCAGAACGTGGGATTCTGGGACTTGCAGTCCAAGGAGAGATTTTATCCAAGCTCTGTTCCTTGGTTGGAATTCCCCACTTCGGGAGGCTAGACCTTTCTAGCCTTGGAATATATAATATTGAGGACTATATATTGAGTTATTTCAACGTCTGCTTCTTTCCCTACTTTCAACGCGGGAGAATATTCGTTTCGCCGTCTCACGCGTTTGTGCTGATGTCGAACAGGATAAAGACCACAAAACGCTCTGCACATTTGAAGTATCATCACCATAACTATAATTATAAGTATCGCTCTAATGATTTCCCGGAACCGGCACATCCCTCCGCGTGCCCGGAAGTCAGCACACCTAAAGTTAAATAAAGAATGGGGACGGGATTTAAATCTATTTGGCCTGATCCAGGCATGTTTCTTCGGAACAATAACTTACTCCCTCGGTGTCTTCCAAGTCTACGCGTTAAGAAGCCTGCTTAGAACCTCAGCCTGAGCGAGGAAAGCAAGCGAAACAGTTTTCGGAGGATCGAGCGCAAATCTTCCAAGCTCTTATTTAGCATGAAAACAGCCCTTGCTAGATACATCATCGGGTTGACTTCACTGCCTGATGAAGCCGGAGAGCCCGTGAAAAGTTTCCTTTCCATTCGCTGAGCATTCGTTTGTACCTCTTGATTCCCCAAGAGGCACCTTTCTCACAGGTGTCTGTCCGGTCCCACCTATCGCCAGGTGAGGAGCCGGTTCCACCACGTCTTAAATCCTACCCTTATACCCCTCTGCCCTTCCCAGATGCCCAAACTCCCGGTTCGATCCCACCGATCGTCCTGTGCCTACCCCCCCCCGCCCCATCCTTTCACCGCACGTACCGTTGCTACATCCCGTCCAGAAGTCGCACACCTGGGTGGCGCCGGAGGAGGCTTCTCTCCTTCTCTCTTGCGCGGGCGCGCTCTACCTGCTTGGACAGAGCAGGCGAGCCGTCGAACCTCCGATCCACTTCTGATCGACGCGGCCAGAGAAGCAGCAGAGGTCTCTGTCTGTCCGTCTCTCGCTCGCTCGCTCGCTCCCTCCCTCCCTCTCTCTTTCTCTCTCTCTCTTTCTCTCTCTCTCTCTGTCTCTCTCCTTCTCCTTGGCTCAGCTGGGGACTTGCCCACCGCTCCCCTCTCTCCCCAGCAGCTCCTCCTCGCCCGCGATCGCGCTCTTGGCCGCCGGCTGCAGCGCCGCGATAGGGGCCGCCTTATCGAAACCGTCGCCTGTCACCCGAACTGGGCGCTGCTTCCAGGAAAGCGCGTGCGGCGGAGAGGACTCGGATGCCTTGGGAAAAGAAGGATCTGTCCCCCTTTCCGCTTTCCGACTCCGGCCTCCCTCCTTTCCTCCCGCCCCGTCTTGCCTCCCTTCTTCCTCCTCCTCCTCCTCTCTCTTCCTTCTCTTCCTCCCTCTGTCCATCCACTGCGACCCCACCATACCCGCAGAAGGGCAAGGGGGTGGGAACCAGAGGCCGAGCCATCCAAGGGCCATGGACTCGGCCCTTCTCCTGTTTGGCACTATTCACACACACACA